CAGTTCTGTAGGTGGGACTCAACAAATGTTTCCACATTCGCCACCGTTTGTTCACCAAGATGCAACCATATTAATGATGCACCACCATCAATTCCCTGTTCCCAACCTCGTGAACCATATTGCAGGATCACAACATATGATTACGAATGGACTACCACCTTCACAGGCAACCAGTAAATTTCTTACAGAGTTTCATTTGAGGCAGCAACAAAATCAGAACTTAATGCAGCAAGTAAGTTTGCAATCTCAGCCACATTCACACCTCCATAATCATTCTACTGTTCATGATGACAATTTTGTTGGCGAAAACAAAAGCAACTTAACAAATATGTCTTCCTCTGGGGGCAAATTCAGCATGTTAGGTGGTTCTGATTTCAATATTTCAACAGGAAATGGTGGGGGTGAGTGTAAAGTGAATAGTGAAACTAAACTTCTTAACGGTGGAGACTTTGTAGACGGTGATTTGGACAATTCAGGTGAAGAAAAGTACCTTTCAGGTTTGCTTAACAATCAGCAAAAGAATATGGAACCAAGTATTGAGGTGCAGTACAAAAACATGGACAGAAATTCTGAGAATGTTATCACTGACCCACCAGAAAACAGCGAAGAAATATCCACAAAAGATAGTGGTCGGTTAACAGATGATGACCTTGGATTTGATCCTTTCCACGAGACTCAAAAGGCCTTGGCAGAGATGATGGAGAAGGAGAGTATGATGCTTACGATGCAAGACCAGCAGAACAAACAACAGCATCCGCATGGTTTCTTAAGTCAGGCGCATCTTCATAACCAGCACGGCACCATGAGCCACTTGTCACATCACCTTTACCAACTGAATCACGTGAACCACTTCAACCATCAGGTCCCACACACGTCTGTTTTTAGTGGCAGCAAACTTCTGGGTTCATTCAGCAGTCACAGTCAGCAACACATAATGCCACAGCAGAATCACAGGTTTGTTTATTTCCATGTAGCATTATGGTTGGCGTGCTGAAATGCGGTCAGGAATTTAGTGCTTGATACAGTGTTCATAAGTATGTTTTCTTTTCTAAGCCTTTGTACTTTTAACCTTTGTTCAAAAGTATTTCCGGTCTTTGAGGTATTTCCCACATTTGAGAACCAAAACTCTGACAGTTTTGAAATCACAGAATATGCGTGATATTTTCTATCACACACAGTTTTATTGAAGCCTTCCAGGCATTATTAGATTTTATCAGTCCATTTGCAGATTAATGCATAATAAATAAGCCTGCTATTTGCCTAATAAATCACTTGAAATGTTAAGTCTGTTGCAGGATTTTTCTTTTAACTTGAAAATGTAGTTATGCTAAGTGATTTTAATATTTTACTATCCAAAGCTTTTATTACAACAAAACATCTTTTAAGTCATGGAATGTTAAAGTTGTAGTGTTTTTGTCTGCGTGTTCTGTTAGGGACCCTCGCAACCCATCCACATAAATGGCTCATATCAAAAGTAGTCAGTTTCATCAGCCCAGAGGGATTGATCAGTTAATTCTGAGTGGGGATCACAATCACATGACTTCATAGATGAGTAGTATTTAAAAAGCTTCTATGTTCATTTTCATGAAGCTTGCCATAGAAATATTTCTTTTAATAATGAAAATGCCTGGTGGTATTCTGGTTCACCAGTGTAGATTTATCAAACATGCCACTTTTGAGAAACATATTCCCTGTGTTGGATGATGGTTTACGAAATGAGAATATACGCGATCTCTCGGAACATCATCACATATGACCGAAGCAGCTTCCGATCGGTGGTGTGAAATTACTTTGTTAACTAACCAAAGCCGTAGTTCAGTATTCCAGTAATTGCTTCATTTCCCCACTGCTTTTACAATCTGACTGGACGCCATATAAAATTGTGTTTGATGCTTCCTGACATCCTTAACAATTCTTATTTTCTTTCATTTTGCAGGTTGCCTCCCAATGTGCCTGGATGTGCAAAATTGTTGGATGGTTTGGGACTCGGGCCTTCACATGTAACGCCGATGGGACCTTCGGCCCCTACAAGAACCCGATTGCCACCTCCAGGTTTTACAACTGCTCCAAACCACATGAATGCTTTTGGTCTTGGTATTCCAAGAGCACCATCAAATAACAGTGAGAACTGTTTTATGTAAATTGCATCAGTTTTGAGTTGGTACAAGTTGATTTCATATAACATTTTTCTCTTCTTCTTCTTCTTCTTTCGTCATACTTTCATTGTCAGGGAGAGGTCATGAGACTTGAGGCCAGCTATCCTGATGGAGATTTTTCATGATTTTACTTCCTAATATGTTTTTCATAAAATGTAATTAAGTGAACTACAAAAAAAATGTATTTATTTCCATCTATCTTTCTTATATTATTTGTTTTATTTGTCATTTAGTGAAATATAGTTTTAAAGTAACTTTTGTTAATGAATGACTTGAAATGTTAAAGTTAAATGCAGACAAGCTAGGCTTTATTTCATTTACATATATTTTTCTTTTGTTATTTGTTTGCAGGTAGCAAAATTCTTCCCTTCATGGGTCTTGGAAACAATTCATCAAATAATGGTTCCTCATCTCCAATTCCTCAAACCATGTCCAGTCTCCCTAATAATTTTGTACACTCCACTTCATTAAATCCTCCACAGGGAACAAACCAGCAGTCGATCTTATTTCCTTCAAATGGAAATTATAGTACTACAAATAATCACGCTTTTAGTCTGCAAAATGGTGATATCATCAACACTGGTGTTCCTAAGGCAGCAACTGAATCTTTCACTGTGAAGGAGTGGCCTGAGAACTTGAGATCTCTGCTGCCAAACTTGAATAATGGTTCACACAATCAGGGTGTGCAATTTGCAGGCACCAACACTCCTCCACCCCCTCCTGTTTTTGGTGCCCCTCACACACCCATTCAAGGAAACACAGAAAAGGGTAAGCAAATTTTAAAGAATCTGTAATATGTAAGTTCTTTCTTGAAGACATTGTTTTTAAAGTATAAACTGAAAAGACGCTTGTTGTTGAATTAAATTGTACTGTATAAACTATACACTGAATTAACGAGACTGATTTTTTGGGGTTTCTGTGTGAAGATTCCTAGACTTAAGTCTTAATTTGCTGAATTAACGAGAATTTGATGTTTTTGGGTTTCTGTGCGAAGATTCCTAGACTTAAGTCTTAATTTCTATACGTTATTTCAAAATGTAACACAATGTTTGTCCTTCATTAATGCAGGTTGGAGTGGAGTTGGACCTTGCACAGATTGGACAGCTCTGGACCCAGCAATTGTATCCAGTTCTCGCCCACATAACTTCCTTGTAGCCACGTCCTCAACGAATCACCACCCACCCGTCAATCCATCTGCAAATCCTGGTCTTCATCTTATACACAATACAAATACAATCCTTCAGCATCATAAACTACCTGTGGACCAGCAGAACACAGCCATGTCAAGTGCAAACCCGCCATCAGCATCTGTAGTCATGCCACATCTGAATCAGTTTCAACATAATAATGTAGGTCACTGGTTGAGGTCATTATCATCCGAAGAAAGTGGTTGTGTTTTCTACAGCTCAAATGTTCTGGGTGGTAGCTCAGCGGATTGGGCTGCCGGCGGTAATCATTCGGGCAACGAAAACGGACAGCAGCAACAGAATCATGTTTTCTACAGCTCAGATGTTATTGGTGGTGGCTCAGCGGATTGGGCTGGCACCAGTAATCATTTGGGCAGTGTGAGTGGACAGCAGCAACAGAATCATGTGGTTGGATCAGCGAACTCAGGTTCAGTAATGATGACAGCGCCACCGCCGCCTGGTTTCTCTTCTATGAGGCTTGCAGCCATACAGCAGACGTCAGCCACTGCCAACTGTATACAGAAGAAGCAGAGCTCTGTGGTAAACACAGAAATTGGGAACACTGAAAGTGAGTTATGATACTTCTCTGTATTGTTGTTCTCTTAAGTATGAGTATGATTCAATAAAACTTGCACAGCATCGATTACATGATATCTGTTGTGCTCACTCACCACTCGCATTCAGACATGCATCCTATTGCGTCATGAAGCACTGGATACCATTCCTGAAGCATTTTGAAGACTGCTGCTGGAGAATTTCACAAACAGTTCCTTTAACTTTAATGTCTGATTGAAATTGGCATCTCTTGAGTGTCTGCATAAGTGGCCAGAAGATGTGGAAGTTGCAGGAGATGGACCTGGACTGCTTTCTGGATGCTCCAGTACCTCCCGGCACATTTACTGCACTGCGGTCTGATGTGAAAAAACTGTACCGGCCTCTCACCAGTATTTTTGAGGCGCGTAGCATAGCCCGCATCTGCCGATGAATCTCCGTCGGTTGGCAGCTCTCTGCGCCCAGAAACTTGAGCATAGCATGCTGATCTTGCTTGGTGCAGGTGTGGAATGTGATATGCCATATTCTCTACTCTCACACATGACTCCATTGAAGAGTCAGACTAACACTCATGATGCAACTAATGTTAATTTCTTGTTCTACACTTTTGATGGAATTGTGGAGTGCCATGGCCCAGTACTCACAAGCACCATGAGCCAGGCAGGTTTCTGTTCAACCACTCTTGTAACTAACCATTTAACTCCGTGGAGTAGAGCTCATATTCAACCTGCTGGTCTAGAGGTTTCCCACCCCTTTGAGCTTGCCACTGGCATGAAATACTGTATTTTGGATCATGAGGACAAGAGAAGAGGCAGAGGTATAGAGTATGTATCTGTACATAACACCTTTGTAATTCTACCATCTTAAAACGGTAGGTCTATTCATCTGCGGTATAAAATAATTTGTTTGTAAAATACCAGTTTTTGTGTCAAATTTGTCACATTAATCTGCTGTCCAACTGCATTCACAAAGTCCCTAATAACTTAAGCACTTTCTGTTCCATTTCTTGTATGCACTTAATCTATCCAAATAACTAGCGCATTCGGTTCCATTTCTTGTATGCACTTAATCTATCCAAATAACTAGCGCATTCTCAGGATCTTAAAGTTTTGCAGTTTTCAACAATTTCAATTAAATTTTGTGAGCTTATATAGAAAACAGTATTCATGTAAAATTTCAACGTACTATGTCTTGCAGTTTCTGTGATGCAGGGGTGTAGAAATCATAAAAATTAACAAAATCTAATTTTTGCTTGCCACCTCCACTAAAAATTGTCATAACTTTTGTTCTGTACAAGCTATGAAGCTTATGTAGAGCTAATGATATGCTCTGTGTGGGTAGGGGGAGGGGCATGTATGTGTGCAGAAGAAATTGCATTTTGTGAGAAACTGAAGGTCAAAGTTTACATCAGGCAAAAGTGACATGAAAACTACTCTGAGTATGAATTATGTATCTCAGAAAAGAGCATTTCATTAGCTTTCAAACAAGCCCCATACGAATGTTTTAGCATATATAAAACAAAGTTTATGTTTATTTTTATTGGTGGCAGCATCCTGCAATTTTTTTTGTTTGTGATTTTTGTATTGATGCATCACAGATACTTCAAGACATAGGAGGCTGTTTGTTGTCTGCAAGATCAACAACTTCCATTGAAATCAGATGTCTGGTTGAAAGTTACAAATGGTCTTATTCTATTCATGGGAAAAGTATTTTTTGAATATGAATTATGAAATATACTTAAATTGCCTGCACGTATAATTATTATAGTTTCAGATGCCAATCAGACAGAAGGTGGAAGCAAGGAAGAGGACAGAATTGAAGACTTGAGATGATGGAAGTCAGAGAGCAAGGAACTGACAAGGCACTGTAAAATTAAGGGTAAGTTTTTTAGAGTTTTTGAGTGAAAGAATGACAGTCAAATGAAAATAAAGCTGCACTTTAAATGTCACTGCCAAATGATTAATATATCAGCTTTGTATTTATTAGTACCTGGATTCAGATCTGAGCATTGAGATTTGCTAACTTGATTGCGGTTTTTTCATTGTTTTCTTGGTTTATCAAGGCAATACACCACATTTAAATTCATAATACACTAATGCAGTTGAAAAAGAATAATCGCATAACACAAGAATGGATCTGTCAAGCCACACATCCCATCACACTTTCATGTGAATTCAGTGCGTTGATTTGATGTGGAATGACTCGTTTGCTGTACTAATGTTGTGGAGATTCTCGCCATATCCATCTTCTTCTTTACTTTGTCTTCAAAACGTAAACAGTAAGGTTCTCTGAAATGTAGCGCTACGGCATACATCTACGTGGTGCCACTTTGCCCACAGATACAATCCACATTAACATTGAACTGTTGTTGAAGTATGAAATTTTTCTTTAGAACAATTGTAAATGGAGACCAAATTGAAAGGTAAATAATTTATAAAAACAAATCTGTTAACTTCAAATCTCAACACCAAAATGTACCATGTTATATTCCATTAAATATTAATCTATGAATCTGTAGAATTCATTCTTGCATGTACTGTTCTTTCTCACTTGTAATTTATTGTACTGTTCTGATTGAGTTTTTTTCCCCCCAGATCTATAATCAGACTCCCACAGAAGTAAATTTCAACACCAGCTCCCTTCTAGGAGTAACATACGAAAATGGTACGAAAATTATGTAATAAAATAATTGGTTTTCCAATACTTTTCTTCGTAAAAAAACTTATATCAGCAGCCTGACTACTACTACTAATTTAATGTAAATGTGTATCAGTTTATATTTCTTAATGCTTTTAAGCAGAAAGAAATTGATGAAGCTGGCACTGAGCCGATACTATTGATTGACTTTGCATTTTCTTTAATATACATTTAAAACAGTAACTATACATTTGCAGAACCATTTAATTTGTGATAATGGTTCACTGAACTTAAAATCTGTCTTTATGCAGTAACAGAGGGAATAAGAAGGAGACAGTGTACTTGAAGTTTTTTTTTTTTTTTGTGGGGGGGGGGGGCGTGAAATTGTCAGATATTGATATAAGTTATTTTGCTTATTTTGTCATGTGGCAGGTATTGTATGTGGATGTGGTTCTAAAAAGCCTACAATTTAACTTATTTTTGTATGTATTTTGGTATGGCTTTTTGGGAAATACTCAAGTTTTCTTTTGTCAGAATTGGATTAGAATTTTGAGTGATTCAAATACTGAAGAGAACTGAGTATAGGGTACACTGACAATGTAATAAATGAAATGTGGATTCCAAAGGAATTTTGTTCCATCCTGGCATAAAACTTTATTTCATATATAGAAGTATGGCAGACTAACAGTAATATCTAAGGACAAGATAAGACATCAGAAGCATTTTCTTCTTATGAAATTTGTTTATCAAAACATTGAGATCATTGATTTATTGTGTCAGAAGTACTTTTTTATTTTATTCCTCTGCCATCTAATATGTACTTCTGTTTACTGAATGGTGCTGGTTTTTTCATTACTTATGCTTAAAAGTGAAATGTTTTGATATCATTATTTTGCAATAGTTATTTGAGGTCAGAGGTGATGACCTACAGGAAACTTGTGTATTGAATTTCAGTGATGCTATTTTTTTCTGCATGTTGCAAATAACTGGTCATTTTCGTTTTTAAATAATGAGTGTCCTGTTGTGTTGCATATGTGACTGGGATGCTCGATGGGATTTCAGAACTCTACATGTATGAAAGCTGCAAGTTATGGTCCATTTCAGATATATAAAGGTAATATGTGCTCTGCTTCCTTAAAGTGTAGGTTATCAATTTGCCCCATAATTTTTCTCTAGACTACAGGGAAAATGTAAACGTAAGAAAGAGGTGAATAAAGAGAAACTATGTTGGTTTTCCCTATGTATAAAAGAAATGAACGAAAATAAACACGAAGTTTAAAGTCAGGGTATAGCTTAGTTTTCTGTAAACTTGCCTGTCCTTCAGTTTATTCCCTAATAAATGTTTCCAGTCCTACATGTGTTTCACTACATAAAGTTGACTCTTAAAGATGTGATAAATTTTACCACCAGGATCACAGTAGAACACATAAATTTGGCAAGAATCAGTACATGGATTGTGCTTTGACAGAGGACCTCCTTCTAGAATGAATGTTTCAATGTCTGGACAGTATATTCTTGCATAAAAGAGGAAGTAGTTGATGGGCCAAGCTTTCTGTGCTACCACAGACATTTAATTGACATGCACAAACAGACAATGTTCTAATTGTGTCATGAAAGGAAAAGCCTTGATTTTGGTGCACACAAATTTAATAAACTTTATGTGAGAGTTGCTGTGTTACATGTGAGGCCTGTAACTCCAATTAATGATGCAAAATTGATTCTTGGACCTTATGATTCAGGGTTCTGTGCATTGCAGAAACAATAGTCTGGCTGCTTGCAGACATAGAACATTTGCCTAAACAAGACCTGGATGAATTTTGATGAAATGTGATGTGGAGTTAGTGCCATTCTGCATGGCCTCAAATTCATATTTGTGAATATCCCACAAGTGGTGGTAAGAACATGAGAGATGAGGAAAATCCTGAGGTGCTGCAATCCGGCAGCAAAAATTGGGAACTATGGAAGTCAGAATATGTATCTTTACAATGGTTACCATTGGTGATCATTGTTATGAATTTCTTCGGTGTTTACCTTGGTTATATGGTAATCATTTGTATTGTTGTAAGTTGTAATCAGCCGAAGGGTTCCTGTAAAAATTATTTTTTATAGGTTACGTTAGATCAGGTTAGGACACGTTTTGTGTTGTAAGGACTGTACATTCGGGTTAGTAAGTCAAGTTAGGTTATGTTGGGTTACGTTTGTTTAGTTTCTGTCAAGAATGTTTAGATTGCGATAAATGCTTAAATACGAATTTTGATTGCTGGAATTTCGGAAATTGAATGTCAATTTTCAATCTTTTTAAAATTTGGGGTAGAAATTTTTTTTAATATTAGTAAGATTTAGAAGTTTTTAAACTTAAAATTGGCGAAAATTTGTGATTTTAAGTTTGAAAAATTGAAATAATGAACACTTTAGAATTATGAAAGATCGAGACTGTGGTAATGTTTGCTCAGGATATGTGTTGTGGGATAAGGTTTGTATATGTGAAGTTCGAAATGTTTAGGTTCGATTTAATATAACTTGGGTTATGATAAAGTATTTTGATTGATTTTGACGTAAGTTATGTAATATCCTTGACTTTCTGCTAGGAATGTTAGATTAATTAGTTGCAACATTATTAGGTAATTTTTAAACTTAGGTTTGTTTGAACAGCTTAGGTTAGTTGTGTGAAGTTTGGTTAGGTTATTCTGTCATGTTATATTCGGGTAGATACGGATAAGTTCATTTTGGATGTCATTTTAGGACAGGTTTTTTAACTTAATTGATGTTGCATTGCTAAGAATCCATGAGGTTTCTCTGTGTATCCTGGCTCGGTATACACCGTCCGAGCATAATTGTGGATAATATCAACATACTATGAGATGCAATGTAGCGCTTTTGGTAGTGAAATCCATGTAGATTATCTATTAGTCCCCTACGTATGTACTTCAGGTTATCATCTGTGGACGAGAGCATAATAGTTCGCAATGGAGTGCTAATGGTAAAAATGTAATTGGTGATTGTGGTAAATGTTTTGCACAACAATGAATCGTGTGAAATGTGTTTAAATGTTATAGATATTCAGTTTATACGATCTTACTATTTTTATAACATAGTTTGTGGAGGATGACACAAATGAAGCCGTATTATTATGCCTTTGGGCTTGACCGTTTTGACAAGTTGATTAATTCTGGCGTGTAAAACACTCGTATGTAATTATATTTTTGACATTGATATGTATGCATCGTAAGGTTGAATGTACATAGTGCTTTTAAATTTGTGTTTGGTCATTCACAGTGCAAGACTACACATCAATATGGAAAAGTTTGCTGTAGATCTGGATAAAGTTTTAGACGAATTTGAGTTCAATGAAGGTCAGTTTCAGCTATAAAATTAAGACTGACGTCTATTATGTTTGTAGTTTTATTGTGTGAGGCATGTAGTGGTGATAGCAGTGTATAATTATTATTTGCCCTATTAAACACTTTCTGGTAAATTGGTTTCATGAATGCTTACATTAAAGAAAAGACAGAAGAATTGTTTTTTGCCAGAAATAATATGTAGCAAATCACCCATGCATAGTGTGTTTGTTACAGTAACTACAGGGTTTTTAATTACTTTGAATTTATTTATATCCTTTATCAATTTTAAAGTGCAGTAAGCAATCAGATTTGATCATCTTATTGGCATAAAATTGTAACGAAATTGGAGGTTATGTTAAATAATACAAATGCGTTTCCTTTAATGTAGATTTGTACCTATATTCCAACTGTGTATTTCATATCCAGTAGGAATAACATTAATCTTATCCAAAAGGAGGCCCATTATCTGCATTTGCCACCAGACTATATCAGAATGCAAGCTGTGTATCTGTAAAACATAAAGTAGTATTATCTGTTATATCGCATTTAAACGTTAATATGTTGTACACAAGTTTATAAATATTTTTTGTAATGAAGAGAGAATTGGTTTAAGGAAAGATCATTTGATATGATGGGTGTCTTCTGTTAAAGGTTGTTGAGGACATGTATGAGAACATTAGTAAATCTGCACATAAATTCCTTTATCTTAATAACTTGATACATTCAGAATTTAAATCTGTTTACTAGATCTAACACAAAACATTAAAATTATTCATATGAATTTAACTGACACTTGGAATTCAGTTTCAAACTTGTGAACATGTCCATTATGGTTGCAATATAATGTTTAGCATAATCACCAGAATATTTCTTAATTATTTTTACAGTGAACTATTCAGGGCAAGCAAAAGTTGTTTGTGTATTCAAATTCAGACCCTTGTCACCTTCTGAATAGTTGATAATTCTCCTATATTATAGTTATGAAAGTAATCTACTCAAATGGTAACTGTGGTATTTACTTTGCCAGTGTCAGCTGCTTGATACATGAATGTGTAACAAGATACACCCTGATATCAGAAATGTTAAAATGGTGGGAAAATATATCTTAAAATTGAGGAAATATGGTACTTAACTCTTTTAGTCTGACACTGTATTGGAAAACTGAAAAATGCATGAAGTAGGTCATATCCTGTAATTTATTTTGAGTTTTAGTCTGCTGCATTGGTTTGCATATTATCAGAAATATTGTGTAGTGTAAGGTAAGTGTGAAATGAGTGATATATGTTTTCTTATATAAATGCAGACCATGCAGAGCAGATGGCAGCAGCTGTAGCTAAGAGAACCAGTGCAGCTGTCCCCCCTGTTGTTGCGGTAAGTTTGGCCTCTGTTATATTGATCTTACAGATAAATGTGTTGCATATTTTAGCAGCCCCTGGCAAGATTGTAATAAAAATTTATCAGCATTAAGATGATTCTTTTTCCTAAGGTGTTTCTGCTTTAGGTGGATTGTCTCACAACCGATTTTCTCCATTAATATTTCTCCAATTTTATAATTTCTTACTTTGTTTTGTTTGGCTTTCCCTTCTGTGCTTTGTAAAAATCTCATCTTTGCTGCCATTAATCTGTTGATATTGTTCTTGGTTTCTGTTCCGTAAATTTATGATATGCAGTAACTTTTAAATAGGCATATCCACCCCTTTCACCCACAGACACTTTTCACTTCTAGAGGAAGTCTCTCACTGATTTATAAAATTGCTGTTCATTTATTACGAATTTGGTCATTTCTTTTTAACACTTCCATTTGCCACTGTTTCTTTATGACCGTGCATTTATTACTAATTTGGTAATTTCTTTTTAACGCTTCCATTTGCCACTGTTTCTTTATGACCTGTGCATTGCACATTGCCTGCCTACTAATGCAGTGAGCTGTTTGGTGGAGTTATAAATTGTGAATTGTAGGTTACAGAATTTCTGAAGACATTAATGTTAAGGATATTGCATATAGTGTTTATGCAATGACTAAAGTTGATCCTGACCACAGACTAGAATTTTATAAATGGATTCAGAGTAAGGTGCGTGAGGATTCTCATCTTCTGGGCGTGATTGTTTGGATTGCTGATATGACATTTATGCTAAATGGTACAGAGTAAAGCTTGGGAATGAATACTGTGTTACATGAAGCTTTATCAGAATTGGTACAGCATAATGATGAATAATGATAATGATTAGACCATTTACTTTGACACACAAACTCCAGTGGTAAGAATCCTGTTTTCAAAGTTAGTGCTTTGAAGTGAATATAGTACATCCATCACCACACTCTAAGAACTCCGCAATAATAATAATTATTTATCGTTGTAGTGCAGTCAGGTCTCAAAACATGTGTCCATTGTATTTAGTCTGTTCTGTGTCTGGTGTGGCCAGCATAGTACTGTTTAAAATCAGTATCACTTACAAAGCTTTGCCGATAGCAAACCAACCTCTTTACTTGGCAAGATAATTATCACTGATAACAAAACATTCATTACAGTGTACAGAGATGCTACAAAGAGATTGAGTGTCACAGATTACATTTTTTATGTCTTCAAAAGACTTGCAGCTGAAACAGCTCCAAGAAGGAACCCGTTGATATTTATGTTCACGTTGTTGAATTGAACATTTTGGAGCAGTTGCGAACTGGTTTATAAGAAATTATTGATTATTGTTCAGAGTTCAGACTTCATTAATTTCAAAGGTTGAGT